GGTTTCTGCACATGCGCAGTTGCACCATGGGGGGTTTTTTCGCGCATGCGCAGTGGCATTATCAGGTTTTCGCGCATGCGCAGTGGCTCCATCGGGATTTTCCACTCCTGCGCACTTGAACAATGGAACTTTTCCGCGCATGCGCAGTCAGTCGCACTATAGGGTTTTTTTTTCCCCCGCGCATGCGCAGTGGCCCAGTCGGGTTTTTCCGCGCATGCGCAGTGGCCCAGTCGGGTTTTTCCGCGCATGCGCAGTGGCCCAGTCGGGTTTTTCCGCGCATGCGCAGTTACGCTATGGGGGTTTTCGCACATGCGCAGTTACGCTTCGGGGTTTTCGCGCATGCGCAGTGACGCTTCGGGGTTTTCGCGCATGCGCAGTGACGCTTCGGGGTTTTCGCGCATGCGCCGTCCGCACCTTCCTCCCGCGGGGTCCCCGCGCCGCCGCCGTCGCCGCCTCGGCCGCCTGCGGAGCAAAACATCCGGGTCACCCGCGGGGGTCCCTCCTCACCCCCCCCCACCCATCCACATCCGGGGATTCCCCAGGGCTGGGGGCTCACCGGGGCTTCCGGGCTGCGCGGGCCGCCGCGGGGGCTTCTGGGGCGGCGCGGGGTCGTCTGGAAGGAAACACACGGGAGTACTGAGCGCCCAGCACCCAGGGAGGGAGTACTGAGCACCCAGCACCCAACGAGGGAGTACTTAACACCCAGCACCCAGGGAGGGAGTACTTAACACCCAGCACCCGACCAAGGAGTACTGAGCGCCCAGCACCCAGGAAAGGAGGACTTAACACCCAGCACCCGACCAAAAGGAGTACTTAACACCTAGCACCCAAGAAAGGAGTACTGAGCGCCCAGCACCCAAACAAGGGAGTACTCAGCACCCAGCACCCAGGGAGGGAGTACTTAACACCCAGCACCCAAGAAAGGAGTACTGAGCACCCAGCACCCGACCAAGGAGTACTGAGCGCCCAGCACCCAAACAAGGGAGTACTCAGCACCCAGCACCCAAACAAGGAGGACTTGCACCCAGCACCCGACCAAGGAGTACTTAACACCCAGCACCCAAGAAAGGAGTACTGAGCGCCCAGCACCCAAACAAGGGAGTACTCAGCACCCAGCACCCAGGGAACATTTAATGCACCAACGAGGAGTACTTAACACCCAGCACCCAAAAGAACATTTAATACAGCAACGAGATGGACTTAACATCCAGCACCCGACCAAAGGAGTACTTAACACCCAGCACCCAGGGAAGGAGTACTGAGCGCCCAGCACCCAACAGGGAGTACTTAACGCCCAGCACCCAACGAGGGAGTACTGAGCGCCCAGCACCCAGTGAGGGAGTACTGAGCACCCAGCACCCAGGGAAGGAGTACTCAGCACCCAGCACCCAGGGAACATTTAATACAGCAACGAGGAGTACTTAACACCCAGCACCCAGCAAAGGAGTACTCAGCACCCAGGAAAGGAGTACTTAACACCCAGCACCCAGGAAAGGAGTACTTAGCACCCAGCACCCAACGAGGGAGGACTGAGCACCCAGCACCCAAAGAGGACTCAACACCCACTACCCCGTGGACACCGAACACCCAGGACCCAACAAGACTGAACAACACCCAAGGGGACTAAATTCCCAGCGGCCAGGAGTACTTAACACCCAGCACCCACCCAAGGTGGAATTGACACCCAGTACCCAAGACGACTTAACACCCACCCACAAGGAGTACTTAACACCCAGCACCCGAGCACAGAGGACCCAGCCAGGGGGAGTACTTAACACTCAGCACCTCAGAGGGAGGACTGAGCTCCCCAGCACCCGCCCCAGCGAGGGACGGACAGACAGACAGACGGACTCACCGCCACCCAGGGCGTCCTGGAGGTCGAAGTCATCCCCTGAAAAGAGAAAAAAACACAGAGAGGGTGTTATAAAACCCTGGCTGGGTGCTGGGGGGCTCAGTCCCTCTCCAGGGTGCTGGGGAGCTCAGTCCCTCCCTGGGTGCTGGGGAGCTCAGTCCATCTCCAGGGTGCTGGGGAGCTCAGTCCCTCTCCAGGGTGCTGGGGAGCTCAGTCCCTCCCTGGGTGCTGGGGAGCTCAGTCCTTCTCCAGGGTGCTGGGGAGCTCAGTCCTCCCAGGGCCCAAAATGTAGATGCTCACCTCCGCCTCCTCCTCCTCCTCCTCTTCCTCCTCCACTTCCTCCTCCTCCTCTTCCTCCTCGGCCTTCATCTTCTCCGCCCAGGGCGTCGCTCAGGTCGAAATCATCCCCTGTGTGGAAGGTGAGGGGGGAAAAACATGTCCAGCCTTCCTTCCGTCCTTCCGTCCGTCCATCCTTCCTGACACACAGACACACAGACACGCTCTTACCTAGCCCGCCGCCGCCTGGCTTCTTGGGGGCGGCCGTGGGTTTCTGGAACCTTCCCTCTAGGGGGGGGTGGAGAAAAGAGAGAGAGAGAGACACAATCAATCACCAGCCACCATCACCATCGCTGTCCAGAGAGGCCTGGTTGCTAAGGAACCTCGTTGCTAGGCAACCAGGATGCTGAGACCCTCACACCCGGTTGCTAGGCGACCAGGATGCTGGAAACACCTAGGTACCAGGTTGCTAGGCGACCAGGAGGCTGGAGATCCCCGGATGTCCCGTTGCTAGGCGACCAGGATGCTGGAAATACCCAGGTACCAGGTTGCTAGGCGACCAGGAGGCTGGACATCCCCAGGTACCTGGTTGCCTAGCAACCAGGATGCTGCAAATCCCAGATACCAGGTTGCTAGGCGACCAGGAGGCTGCAGGTACCCGGATGTCCCGTTGCTAGGCGACCAGGAGGCTGGAAACACCTAGGTACCAGGTTGCTAGGCGACCAGGAGGCTGGAGATCCCCGGATGTCCCGTTGCTAGGGGACCAGGAGGCTGAAAATACCAAGGTACCAGGTTGCTAGGCAACCAAGAGGCTGCAGGTACCCGGATGTCTGGTTGCTAGGCGACCAAGATGCTGCAGATCCCCAGATATCAGGTTGCTAGGCGACCAGGAGGCTGCAGATCCCCGGATGTCCGGTTGCTAGGCAACCAGGAGGCGGCGGAGCGGTGGCTAGGGATGTGGGTTGCTAGGCGACCTGGAGGCCCCCAGATCCCCCCCCCCCC